GGCCCCCTCCCTGGCCGAGGTCCTGGCCACCCCTCCCGCGGTCCTAGAGAACGCCATTTTGCAGGTCTTTGTCCAGCCCCGGCTCTCGGTCCCATTCATTTGTTCATTCTCTCATTCTTTGTCACCCCTTGCCACATTCTCCAAGGCCACGTTTCCCAGGGCTCATTCCGAGACGAGGCAGCTCGGGGCCCTGGCCTGCGCGGCTGTCTGGCGGGGGCGCAGACACAGACGGTTGCGGGGGGCGAGAAGCGCAGCGTTTCTGCAGCTCTCGGCACCTCGGCGCGCCTGGTAGGCCCTGGCGCTCTCCAAACCCCCACCTGCCTCGGAGAAGACCGGGGCCTGGAGCGCCGTGGCGCCCCTGCTTCTACGGCCTGTTCCTGAGGGCACTGGGGGAACCGGTACTGATGGGAAGGATGCAAACGAGTTTTCCCATGAGCGAAGGCAAACCGAGGCAGAGGGCAGTGCAGGTGGAGATGCATCCAGGTGGGGAAGTTTGAGAATTGTGGCTGGAGCTCAGGTTGCTGCAGGGAGGGGGAAACACGCTGAGCTGAGGCTGGAAACGTGGGTTGGGGTTAGGTTGTGAACTGACCAGATTGGAGGCCTAGGAGATCCTTAACTCTCACCTCTGCACGCACTGTTCATGCTTACACGTCTGCCGTCTCGCCGAGTCTGTGAGGCCTGTGGGTGACATGTTTAGACATGGAGACGGAGGTGCAGGGACGATAAAAAGTGGCTCCTTTCTCACCTCATCCCAGCTCCCAGCTCCCAGGCTCCTAGCCTACACTCTCTGGGAATGAAGTCTCTGCACTCCCGTTCAGGCAGCAGGACTTCATCCCTCTCCTAAGCCAGCAGGAAGGGAAGACCAGCCTTCCTCACTAGAGCAGTGAAGCCCATGTGGGAAGTAGGCATGATGCTATTTGGACCTTGGGAACTTGGACAGCAGAGAAATCCAGTTAATAAATAGTTGTTGATGGGCAGTCTCACACTTGCCTACTGTGGGGAAGGCAGAGGCTCTAGGCCTGGGTCTGAACTGTGCTCAGAGGTTGATTCTTCCCATTTGTTTTGGGATGCTAGTCACAGTTCTAGGTGTAGTGGATACAGAATAAGAAAGGTTCCCAGCTCTTCGCTAGCCTAGATTCTTGTGCTGGAGACCGAGAGTTTGACAACTAAGCCATAAAATGTGTAAGTGCTGTCAAAGTAATAATCAGGGGACGGAGAGCAGTTTGGGAGGCAGACCACCTAGCTTTGAATACTGGCTATGACTATCACTGCTTCATTTCTGTGTGCCTCAGTATCCTTGTCTGTTTAACTTAGTCTATTCAGGCTACCATAGCGAAAAAACAGACTGGGGGGCTTAAACAACAGAAACTTATTTCTCACAATCCTGGAGGCTGGGAAGTCCACGATCAAGGTGCTGGCCAGTTCCTGGTGAGGACTCTTTTCCTGGCTTGCAGGCATGCACACATTCAGTCTGTAACAAACTTCTAGGCAGTTGTGAGACTTAGGGGTCGCGACCATGGGAAAACACATATAGCATATCAGATATTTACATTACAATTCATAACAGTAGCAAAATTACAGTTATGAAGTTGCAACGAAAATAATTTTATGGTTGGGGGGTCACCACAACATGAGGAACTGTATTAAAGGGTCGTGGCATTAGGAAGGTTGAGAACCACAGTTGTGAGACTTAGCTTGAGTAGTACACGTAAAATTCTCAGAACGGTACCTGGCTGGTGCTAAGCTTGCAAGAAGGGATGCTATCCATGGGAGCACCATAACGGAAGTTAAAGAGGGGGAGGATAGTGACCAGCAGGGGCTCCGACAGCCTTCAGAAAGGTGGTCTGGAAAGCCCTCTTTGAGAAAGTGACAGGGACCTGAGACCCAAATAAAACCAAAGCGATAGCTACACAAAGATCCTTGGGGGAGAGTGGTTCTGGCAGAGGGTACTGTGTGCAAAGGCCCTGAAGGAAGAAGGAATTTAGCTCTTTGAGGAAAAGAAAGGGAGCCCGTGTGGGTGGAGCTTAGTGGGACAGGGAAGAGGAATGGAAGATGAGGTAGGCAGGAGTTAGGTGGTTCAAGCCTTGCTGGCCATGAAAGAGATATTGGTCTTTGTCCTAGGAACAGTGGAAAGTCTCATGGTTTGGCTAATAAGTCTTAAGGAAATGAAGACTGCTGGCGAAAGAGCCCGGCCCAGAGACCTGAAGACTCAGGTTTGAGTCAGGGCTCTTTGACTAGCTGTGTGTTCTTGTGCAAGTTTTTCCCTCTGGGGCGTAATCTGCACATCTGAAAGCAAGGTGAAGTAAAAACGCCTTTCTCCTAAAAGCTTGTGAAGACTTAAGGATGTGTCTTTGGTTCTTAAATGTTGAGTGTTGGCTGGAGTGACCCAGAAAGTGTGTTCATAGGAAAGATTTCTGTCCTGCCCCACACTCCCTGGATGGTTATTCTCGTACCGGGGGTTCAGAGACCTGACTTGGAGGAACCCCACCGTAGGGAGTGGTAGGTGAGAATCCTCACTGAACTGTGAAGCGAGGAGATAATTTGACAGGGGCCTCGCCGACCTGGCCCTCTGCTCTTCATGGAGCTGGGTGCCTGCTGGGACCAACCTGGCGCCCCCACTTGTCCCCTGGGAAGTGCCTTAGGAGAGGTTTACCCATCCAGCTCTCTGGTCTCTGGCTCACAGATAGGAAGACTGAGGCCCAGAGCTCAGAATCCATGGGTCCAGCCTCGAGAGGGAAACAGACATAAAGGGTTCTGGCTCTGGTCTCAGGGCGGTTCTACAGGGATGAGAGCAGACAAAGGTGCAACCTGAGCTCAGAGTCCGGTCCCTGTGGGGCCGGCCCAGGGGACAGACAAGACTGTGAGGGCCCAGATCACTGAGTAAGGACCCAACAACTCAAGGCGAGTTAAACAGCTAGATTCAACTCCCAGCTGCGAATTACTAGGTGTGGCCACGGGCTCGTTATTAAGCACAATGCCATTTTGTTCCTCTGGGCCTCAGTTCTCTTATCTGTGAAAAGGGAATAATAATAGTACTTTTCTCATGGTGTGGACAGAAGTTGAAGTTAGTGCTTTGTAAATGTGAGCTATCGTGTGTTTTTTTATTAAAGAGAAACTTTATCAGTCAGGCTGTCCAGAGATGGTCTGGAAAGGAGGTAGTGAGTCCCTCATCCAGGGATAGGGAGAGATCCTCTGGAAACGTGAGATCCCCTGGAAAGTTGATCCTCAAGCCCTTTAATTCACTTTCCAGCCCCAGAATTTAGTGGGAAAAGTGAAAAAACAACAACAAGGTGATGGTGGAACAACGTTGAGTGGGATTGGGGCCAAAAACCAGAGCGGAGATGCAGGAAGAGCTTCCTGGGCGAAGTGGGGCTCAAAGGAAGGATTGATGGGGTGTGTAACGGCCAGGAAGGACCTGGGAACTTGCATGGCGTGATGGAAGCCATGGAAAGTTCTTGAGTGTCACACAGTACTTTAGGGAGAAGACGCTGCCTGCCTGTGTACACCAGATTATGTGTGTAGGGGTGGGGGACTGAGGCAGGTCCACCAGGCAGAAGGGTGCTGACTCTAAAGATGCAGCCCGTGCCACTCACTCCAGGGGGTCCAGTGTCCTCCCTGGGCCATAATGTAGAAGCCACCAAGCCCTGAGGTGTACAGACAGGGAAACAGGCTTAGAAGGAGCATGAGAAAGAACTCAGGCCCCCTGCCTCCCAACCTCGCTTCTGGGCACACCAGGCTCCCTTTTCTATAGCAGATCCTCACCCCCACCCAGGCTGCCCCCAGCAGCTGCTGCTGCGCACTCCTTAAGTGGATCTGCCCTAATCCTCTCCCTTCATCCCCCAGGGAGGATGAGCTGGTGTTAGGGCTAATGCAGCTGTTAATCCTATTTCCTTTCAGCCATGATCCACAGGAGCAGCTGTGTGGACGGTGTCTGGCTCTGAACCGAGAATGAAGGGGCCTCGGCTCGAGTGGGTGTCCCGGGAAGCCAGATCAGATACATTGAGTATGACTCAGAGGCTTCTAACTGCTAGCGATGGTTCAAGCTGCCTCGGGAGTGACTGAGCTTCCTATGACCAGAGCTAGGGGAGCAGGAGCCCACAGTGATTCCAGAGCAGGGGTGGGCGATTCCTGTCTGGGGTGGAGTCCCTTATAGCCGTGCAAGGCCAGAATTCTGTGCGACCGTTGCTGCCTCTGAAAGCTAACCCACCAGAGTGGAAAAACAAAATGCATATGCTGGGGGCCTACCACTTCCAGACAGACGGTGCCAGTCACCACAGTGAGCCCACTGGTTTTGGCCTCTCGTGGGCCTACCTCTGCCTTCCCTGGGCACTTGGAGACCTTCAGGCCAGACCCCCATCTGGGTAGTCTCGATGTCTGCAGCCATGCATAGGACCCTGCATCCTGGCACAGGCCTTGGAGGCTGAGCCGAAGGAGGAGGATGGTGAGAGGATGGAACAGGGTATTCTGGGAATGCCACAGGGTCTGGAAAAGCTCGGGCTGGGGAATGAAGGGCAGGCAGACATTTTGATGAACCCAGCCTCCTCCCTTAGTCTTTCTGAAGTCACCCAGTCCAACCCCTGCCATCAGTGAGCAAACCAGAGAGGACACTTGGGCACACTGTCAGAGCCGGAATGTTTGAAGGCAGGATGTGGCCCTCCCGGGTGGGAAGTGCAGATAAGTTGGGGTTCCCACTGAGGCCCCATGAGGGCTTTGGTGACGGGAGAGGCCTTGGAGAGGGGCGGAGGGATGTGGCTTCTGTCTAACTTTGCTTCTCTCACAGAGCTTTGCCCATCGAGGCCATGGAGGTGGAGACTGTGGAGGCCCGGTCCCCAGGCCCTGGCTACAAGCGTTCGGGCCGCCGCTACAAGTGCCTGTCCTGTACTAAGACGTTTCCAAATGCGCCCAGGGCAGCACGCCACGCTGCCACCCATGGGCCTGTAGACTGCGCGGAGGAGGTGGCAGAGGTGAAGCTGAAGCCAGAGACGGAATCTAAAACAGAGGATGCCAGCGGGGACAAAGTGTCAGGCGCCGCGGCCAAGCCCCGGCCTTACGCATGCCCACTGTGCCCCAAGGCCTACAAGACGGCACCAGAGCTGCGCAGTCATGGGCGCAGCCACACGGGCGAAAAGCCCTTCCCTTGCCCCGAGTGTGGCCGCCGCTTCATGCAGCCTGTGTGCCTGCGCGTGCACCTG